AATAAAATGATTCGGTTTTTGTGCAGAATTTGAAGCTAAAAAGGGTTCTCTAAAGTTCCCTGCAAAGCGATGAATGAGGCGAATTTTCTAATAAAATTAATTTTATAAGTTTTGGCTGAGAAGACATCATTATGCTCAAAAAATAAGAAAATCATCAGAAACTAATGTTTTTTTGCACTTTTTCTTTGAAAATGTTTGGTTTTGTCATGTTTTTGAGAAAACCTTAATGACTTTCGGAGAAAAACGGCAGAAATCTATTTGTGTTTTTATCTAGAGCGTTTTTGAGTAGAAAGTAAAGCCAAAAAGATTCAGTCAAAAACAAAAACCACATTTGTTCCAGTCCTATTTGATCCAAAATAAAAATTTTTCGTTATGTTAAAATAAAAATGAATTAAATTATAGTAAAGCACATGTCCAAATAGTTTAGATCCAAAATTAAAGCTATTCGTTCATTGTTCATCTTTAATATCAACGAATTAAAATATTGAGATTTAACGACGTTAATAGTTACAGTACTGAGCCACCGATATGTATTTCAAGAATTTCCAATGATCTTATTTGTCGTGTGATAACAATTAATCATATAGATTCTCTATAAACACACGATTCTATAGCTTCTATAGTGTAGCATTATAAGATTTAAGGCTGAAAATAAAAACAAACAACTGGCACCACAGTAATTAAGAAACTTAATTTATTTTACAAAATGTTGAAGCTTTTTTTCAGATGACACTTTGGTTTGTCTGATCAAATTAAAAAATATACGTAAATCTACAAATTTCCATATTCCCATCTACCAAAATTAACATTCAAATTAAGGATTTGTTTTCTTTTATCTATTTCTACCAGAAACACAGAATTTCGTTAAAGTTTCCAAATAACAAAGAAAATGCTTTCCGCTATTTACAAAATGCACACTCCTTCATTATACTTGTTTGAAGAATCTATTTGTTGCTTCTCCAATGCTTCTCATATATGGTAAAATCTGAAAATTACAAATTTATTCAATCTGCTGGTAGAATATTAATATTTACTACATGTTTTTTGGCAGTTAATGGAACGGATTTATCGTAAAATTCTGGCTTGTCTGAATTGTAGTATTTTCGAATCGGCTCTGGCCTAATCCTAGTTCTACCTTCCCCTGCCTATCAAATCCATATGATCGCTATTTGCGGTGCGCATAAAAAAAAGTGGGAGGAAGGATGATTGTTATTGACTTTTAGAAATCTGGTTTAATTGAGACTGGTGCTATAAAAATTGAACTCTATAGAGGTTTTAATACTTGCCCATAACCCAATTTTCATATTTAGAGAGTGTTTTCGCTTTGCTTTTGTCTGATAAATAGAGGACCATCAGCCTTTAATGTTTTCCTTTCGTTTTAGACGCCGTTAAATATTGCGTTTTAGCGGTTTAATATCCATAATCTGTTTGAAATTTCGGCTGAAACTGACAATCATCATACCAACGCAACTTTGAATACAATTGTTTCAAAGCTCAATTATGTTCATATTTTAGCGAACATGAATAATGCGTTCTTTATAAACTATATAATATATAACTAGTGATTGAATCCTGTTAAAATTGGTTTGCTCCAGTTCAGTCAAATTCACTTAATTGCTAGATAGTAATTCATTTCAAAATATTTTTATTCAAAGGACTGGAAAAAAATTTAAAAGTGGTATGGAAGAAGGGGACATATCCCCTAAATAAATTTTTTTTTAAATTATTATTCTGCTTATAGGTAACAGAATATGTTCTTTCACTAGGGTGCAAAACTGGTACTTGTGGATGAATAGCTACCGTAAAAGAAAATAAATGTCACTTATCGCGTTCTTGCATCAGGGTCTTCAATTGGAAACTGAAAATTCACACAAATCACTAATATGCGAGATAAGTCGTTTATTACTTTGAAACAAAAACCTAAGCAATGAAGCTCCTGCAATTATATAAAGTAGCAGGTACTAGTCGTCATGTGTAGATTTTCTTTAGTTACGGCAATGTTTAACATGTTTCTTATTTATTAATGAATCATATGAGTAACTAATTTGAAAACTGCACAATAGAAGTATATTTGAATATAATTGCTGATTTAATAAATAGCAAGCCATTAGTACCAAAACGCACCACTTTTAATATAACAGCAAATAAAATGTTCACTAAAGTTATGCATACAAAATTATAATGAATGCAGCATATGCAGCAGTAGTCCACAATGGAATTATTCACACATAACGAAAATACATCAAACAGCAATAATTATTATCAGAATGATGATTTTATGGAATGTATGTACACATGCTTTGAAATTTTATTAACGTTAGTTTAATGCTGACATATTCTATCCAATAAGCTAATTTAACCAATTTATCATTTGAAAATAAATTATATGCAAAACCAATCCAATGAAAAAAGCTAACTATTGTGACACAAACTTTGAACAATTTGATCGTAGCTCTATAATTAAACGAACACAATCTCCGATTAAGTCAATGCTTCTATTCTAAACAAAGAGCACAAATATTGGATAGCTACTAGAGGACACTTTTTATCATGGCAACTTGCTATCATGTCATTTGCACTTGATTTATTATCTTTCTATTGTATTCTTTCAGTCAGACACAGTAGTTTCAGAATTTATACAGCGGAATTAAATCCGAATTCAACAATAGCTAATTAAGCGACCCTATCCGTCTGATTTAGGTTGAGAGAAGAAATGCGGTTACTGAATTTCAAATGTCTAATCAGACTTTTAACGCAATGCTATTTCCGATTTTGTTACTGAAGCGCGATAAAAAGTCTATAAAGTTATATGAATCTTCTTCACAATTCTTCTACAACTCACATTTCACAACTGTGTTCATAAGCATTTAGTTTTACTAACCTTATTATAATGAGTAATAATAAGTTTCATAATGGCGTGTTAACTTAATTGCGGTAGATTTTTAGAAAAACTGTATTTAAACCTGAGTTGGGAAATACTTCATTACGAAGCTGCAAGAGACAATTTAATTTAGTTGCATATTGGTCTTAATAACAATATTTAGTGTTTATAGAAACAAGATTAGAATAAAGCCTATATTAATTTACAAAAGGAGTGGGAAATTTTTGTTTCCAAAGTAAGTGTCAGGAATTTTGTTATGAATAATAGAGAGCTGGTAACTTTTCATACAGTGCTATTATATGCAAAAGTGGTGATATTGGTAGTTTGTCTATCTAAATCTAAATTGTGGACATCATACCGGCATTTGATTTTTGGATAGTGATAATTAGAACGTTTATTCAAGATTATCTGATTATATCATTCTAGACTATGTGGAAGTCTTCTTTTTCCCTGGAAATTCATCCGAATTCTTTCACTTTTGAACTCATCTCTATGGACGGGAAAATATATTTCAGTTAAGCCGTTCGAGTTGCACAGAAATTTGACCACAAAGCAACTTTCACTGCTTGTAATTTAGAAATTAAAATGTCGATAATTGCAAACAATCTAAATCCCGCGCCAATTCCAACATTGCCCAACGAAATTCTTTAAAGTGAATAAGAGGGAACGTACAAAGAATGAAACTGTGATAAGGGTGAGTATTTTACGATCCTGGTTTTGACTCGTCGTTTGAGATGGGTGATTTGGCGAGCTGAGAGAATTTCGGATCATGTTGCCGTTTTCGGATTAAAACCAGCTTAGAAATAAATATCCCATTTGGGGGTTCTTGTTCAAGGGATCGATTAGATTTGCTCATCTAATATGATACCATTTAGTAACGCCAATCAACAAATTTTTATACGAATTAATCCGTTTTTCTTTGAATTCCTTGCCTAATTGCAAGCTTTGTTTGATTGAAGTCTTATTTTGTCTTACTGTCTGTACTAAGGTAAGATGCTAGACTAAAATTGGGTATTGAACAAGTTACTGACTCTCTGAAAGATATATTTATTGACATGATTTTTATCATACTTAAATATCCAGAACCAGAACAATTTCCTCCAGAAAAGGTCTGATACATATTATTCCTAATCAAGGCTTTATTTTGTAAATGGTACTGCAAGATAAAATACTCTACTCTCTAGAGGCACCAACTGCATTAATCATATAATTTTATCCGCGTTAAAGTACATAAACCTTTTCTTTCAACACCATTTTCCCATTTTTTATACCAGTTATGACTATTAATGGCATGACAAAACACCGGTGTACGTATGTCTAAAATTGATAGTAACATTATTATGTTAGTTTGGGCGTTGTGTTAATATTTTTGTTACTGTTCGGTATTTGTTTTGGTCAACTTATGAACTACAAATATTTTCGTTAGTGTCGCTTAAACGCAGCAGCTTTATAATTTGATTTATCCTATAATAATATGCAAATGTGCATATCCGCTTGATTTTACTTGGTATGTAGAAATCAATACTGACGTAATATCGGAATTGCATTCAAAGTAATTTCTATTTTCATTAAAAACACACGGGTATCGACTCGTTTTGATGACTGTTTACCAGGTAAACCAACAACCTAATTAATTTTGCGAAAATTAAACACGGAACTTATCGCATCGCTTTTATAACCGTGTTTTACCGGGTGCAAAAGCACGTATAAGATATCCTAGAAGTTATCATGTCTCTCCATCAATTTCAAACTTTTTCAGATATTTTTCAACCCCTCTGACCTCAAATAAACAATAATAAATGACTGAGAATGTTTTTGTATATATCATTCTCGTCACGCATTTCTCCTGTCACATACATACACTTTTGATTTATTATCTCCGGTCGTTCTTTCTATAATTCGTGCTACACCAAGCTTTTTTAATCGATTAAAAAGAAAAAAAATGTTATTGAATAAGTTGCGAAGCAGTGAAGAGTCGATTAGTGTTTTCAGTTTTGTGTCATGAACAGCGGTTGTTATAAAATATTAAGTTTGAAGCCGTCAAGGATTGTGCCCCAAATTTTTGTGCTCTAATATCCTGAATAGCCAATAGATTTAAAAGGTTTTTTTTTCTTTTCAGTAACAAAGTTCATCCGCATCGGCATCGCAGATAAAAATGACAATCCACCCTACTTTGACAAGGCTCTCTACGAAGCGGAAGTCGACGAAAATGAAGACATTCAACATACCGTTCTTACCGTCACCGCCAAAGATCACGATGAGTGTAAGTACCTACATTTTTTTAGAATTTAATACACTGAAATCATCAATTTAGAATCTGCATAAATAACATATGTTAAGTCAAAAGAAGTCATTTTATTTCTACGTGAATGCAACACATTCAAAAATGACAACTACGTGATATTGATATAAATTGTTTAAATTATCAAGAAAGCCACTTTTAAACATTTTATCAAAATTATGTTATTTCTACCGTAAAAATTGTATTTTGTATTCAGAGAAAAATATTGATCCAAATTAACTGCATATAATTCATCAGTAACATTGCTAGACAACTTAATTTCTTATTAGGGGGCAAAATTTGAAGATTTATGTTATACTTTTTCCTGATTGGCCCTTAAACGTTCACAAATGCTATGCGCTTTTGTATTACATTATGTGCGTTTGTCTGATCATCAGCTCATCAAGTTAAAGTGGTTAAAACATTTTCGGTTGGTAATTTTGCCTGATAAATATGTATTTTTAAAAAAATATAAGACTTTCAGCCTTTTAATACAGACCCTTTAACAAACGGCAATATAGAAAGCATCTTGAACACATAGAAGAAACTTGCGGGTATCCTTCTAGAAATTTATTAGGAAACGTTACCTTGAAACTTCAATTGCAAATCAAGAATTATTATTAAAAGATACCTAAAAATGTAATATTAGAAATGAAATATTATATTGAAAACTATGTTTTGATAAAGCACTCGTGCTTTATTATAAACCAAAGTACTCCTTATCAATCCGTTATCAAAATGTAAGGAAATTGCGTCTTTTTTAAAATATCAAAAACATTTTGACGAAATCTTTAACGAAAATGTTTTGTTTTGAAAACATGAATCCGCCTCAAATAAATAGAAATGCAAGTTGTCAAACTACAAAAGTATACATGCAGGAGGACGAAAACCAGATTCTGAGAAAACAAATTTTAGATTTTGATTACTAAATAATATTTTTAGTTGTAATAAGGAACATATTGGCCACAATATTTTATGGCAAAAATCCGCGAAAGTTTTTCAAATCGCTTGTGAATTATTTTTGATCCAAATCAATTTACATAAAAGCCTATTCTCAAACGCGAACAAAGTTACAAGAAATACATCAAATATCAATAGGCAAACATATACCTAAAAAAGTATTTCAGAAGGATATAATCCTACTGTTCTGGGTTATTAGGGTGTTATTTAGAAATAGGCGATTATTTTAGAAGCTTACCTTTTGCCAATGTAAGTTTATATTTGCACTAAATCTAGTATGTTCAAAACCACAGTGCGTTTGAATGAAAAATTTTCTACATTAGCTGAATACATAATATGACCGTGGAACTGTTCAAATAGCACCAAGATATCGAGAAGACACAATATGTAGGTGATTCGAATCTATTCTTGTTGCTAGAGAGAAACAGGCCAAATTTTTTGGCTTTAATACACATTCTGTATATAAAGAAAAACTCCAGAATCAATCTAACTTCAAGAAATGAAAAATGAAATGCTAAACCACAAAGCTCTTTCCACGAGCCGCAATCATCAATATAAAATCTAAGTCTTAATTATTCCGGTTAATGACATTTTCTTCTCTCCCCTTATAGGTAACAAAAGCCGTTCATTTCCGTTCTTGTTTCAAAAGAAAAATTTAATTTGCTCGATATTCTTAGCGATGAATGTTTTTTTCGTCCTAAATCTATCTTTAAAATATTGAGCAATTCACAGACTAATTAAACTCCTGATTCAATTGCAAAAATTATATTTTACGCGATCTTATTGAACTTTAATGCATGACATGAGTATGATTCAAAATTAGTCATTTATCACAGTCTTGATTTTAAGTAAAGAGTCAAATGTTTCAACAGACTTAATATTGTCTACGTGTTTGTTGAATTAACCACACAACATTAACGAACTTTAAACATCAACGAAAATGATTTGCATTTCGTACTATTTATTAAAGGTGAAAATTTCAATAGCAAAATTTTCAGCCACGTTAAATACATTAAAGCAAGTTTTGCACTAGTTATGTGAATGGCCCTAAAACGTTTTGTTCAGCTGCTTTCAATTTGCCAATTGCTTTCTGTATAATAATGGATTGAGTTTTCTTTATTTTACTTACATCTTTACACTCCCGCGATCAACCAGTTTTAGGTTTGTTTGAGGTTGTTTCCTAATTTTTTTTTTTTTTATTTATTTACATTACATTTACAATTTACAAACTGCTTGTTGGGTATTTCGCCTCAAAATTTTTTGTGTTTAAAAAGACAGAATTTTCTCACATCGTTTATTATAGATTGATAAATAGTGCTCCTATTTCGTAATAAGAACGAATTATTTATCAAAAAGTAATCAAGAACTATGTTGTTTCCTTCGGTATACGAAGTTGTTTGATTTAGGTTATTGAATGATTCGATTCCCGTTGTATGTAACTGATATAAATTTAAAAAAGAATGAATATTGAACGCATCATTTTCCAGAATTTTTGCACAGTTTCTCCATTCACAACATTTAGCGCGGCATTCATAAAAAAAAATTCCGGCATAGACCACACCATTTCAGTTAAACATCGGATAAATATGTTCAAAATATTTCAGTTCGAATATGTTAGGGTCCAATTAGTTGAACTTCTGCATCTTCATCCAAGACTTCAACATCAAAGACAGCTGATTCTGTCATTGCATCCAGCATTTTATCTTGTATATCTTATTTTTTTTTAATTATTAATATATTCTTTCTTCAACTTCCACTGTTATTTATTAATGTAACTGTTTTATTTTACATTCGTTTAATATTTATAATTATTAACAACAATGGGCGCCTGTCAGTGCAGGAATTTATAAAATAATTCCAGTTTAAGTTTTAGCTATATACCGAAATGTTTACATATATTTTTTAAAACTTTATTGCTTATTGTGCTTCGTGATCTTCTGATTGTCTACATGAGCTAATATTAAATTTCTTAGCTATGTTTGGTTAGCTATGTTTTCTTAGCTAAATAAGTCTGCCAAATTTTAAGTCAAATAATGAACCAACTATTAATTTTCTTGATGCCCTTAGGTTTTCTTTTAAACGTCAAGTTATTTGCTTTTATTACTGTTTTTTAAGCGGACTCCTTTTTAAGCGGTATCAAAGGAAACGTTGTAAACGAAATAAATGCCTTTCAATTTTATTCTGTCGCAAAGTAAATTAATACGTTATATTTTCTCCTATTTAAATAAAATGCACTTGCAATATTAGTAAGTCCCATTTCAGATCTAAAAGATTAAAGTCCTTGGTTGCTTTACTCAAAATGATTTATAGTATGTGCGTCGCAGCGTACAATTCGCCGAATTTAATAGAATAAACTGATTGAAAATTTGCCAATGCGAGAAAATCATTACGAAATTGAAATAAACTTGTTTCAGACCACTGCAGTAAAATTAATCATAACACTCATGAGTTTTTTAATCGCAGATTCTCAAACTGATACTCAACCGACATATGCTAAATAGAAGAACGACAGTGTAGGATTATTATTATTCTGAAAAACAACTCAAGCGCATTTGCTTGAAGTTTTCCATCAGAGCATCTATTATAACCACATCCGTTTAGCACTTCTCCATTCTTAACAAATGATCGTGAAAAGACCCGAGTAAAAAAGAATTTCTAAAAGCTTTTTGAGAGAGTTTTAACCGACAAGAAATAACCAGTATTCGCTTTATAATACGAATAAAGAAAAGGGGCTACCTATTTCATTTTATTTGTGAGAGCTGTAGTCATCGACCTCAAAATTCAATTTTACAATGGAGCTGAGTGAGCTTTATTTTTAGAGTTATATTTTGTTTTGGTGGAAAGTCAACTCTAATCGATAATATAAAGCTGTAATCAATGCAACATTATTATTGGGCCAAATAATAACCGGCGACGTTTTTCGATAATCACTCGGTCGAATATAAATACGGCGTTGGAAAATTCTAATGCTAAATCCGCCAACTGGAATATATTATTACGTAATTTATGTTAAGCTACTTAAAATTTCAACAAAGCCTCTTATAACTCTCGCGTCATCATTAATTTGCATAAGTCCTTGTTCGAGGTGAACTTAATTGTGTGGAAGTGGTTTTAAGAAAACGTTTATATTCTAGGCATTAATTAAATTGAATTTGTAGATACAGCAAAGCCCGTGCTTTTTATGGTACTGTCTTGTTTCGAAGTAAAAATTCGAATTTATCTTGGTGGTTTCTTATAAATCTAATAAGTAGGTACTTATGCGCGAAACTGAAGAACTTGATGTTAACTAAATGATTTCGCAGGAAGCATGTACAGAAGTCTTGTGAATATCCATAAATATAACATAATGCAAGTTGGAATTTGTTTTGGATTTTATTATTTCTGTTTAACTGTTTTCTCTAAATCAAATCATTGAACCCAAGAAACTTTTTTTGGCCACACGATAGCAACTCAACTTATCTACTGTAATGCGAATCGTTTTACACTAAAATTCTTGGACATCAATTCATTCAATCAATCATTCAAAAGGCAAAAATGGATAAATACAAGTTTAAACGTAAAATAAAATATTTTTCTGCTACTCGATTTTTCACATTCGTCTGGCATTCTATTTAAGTGGCACTTCAGTTAGGCGGTGAAAAACACACAAGGATTTCCTGCTTTTATTATACCTGATAACATATCACTGAGAAGAAGTGCTGATTTTTATCGATATCAAACCCTTACAATGGCTGCCGTGTAATAGTGCGGAATTACGGTATTCAACTGCCACTCACTTAAGGTCAGATGAATGAATGAAGAAATTGGAAGAAAACGTATTATGTACATTAGGTCTCCATTGCAATTTTATTATTCAATATAACTTTGCTCTGTTATATTATCTTACATATCTGGTTTCACTTTGACTTGGAGTTACAAAATGTAAATAATTATTTTAATGGATTTTGACGTGAGCGAGACTACCGGGACTTAATATAGAGAGAGAGAATATTTTATGTAGTTATATGTTAAGTTTGTTCGAA